TCGATTTTTTTTTCTTTCTATCTTTTGTTTTTCCCCAACGTAAATAGGTTTTAGTTTCCAAGTTTTAAAAGAAAAATGGATTAGTTCTTTATTTTCTTGGTGATTTTGTTTTGGGGAAAGATTATTTTCTTTATTTTCCAAAGCAAACATGTTTATCTTCTGTCACCCAACAAAAAAGAATATTCCGTACATGTACAAAAAATTAGGAGATAATGGACTAGTAGAAAATTGCAACCCTATCATTTATCTGTGCTTCGATGTTATCCTAATTACGAGTCAGCTCATACATCGTATTATCTAGATTAAAAGATGTGGTCGGATGCGAAGATTAATGGAAAAGTAATGGACAAGTGAGTGGTCTTCTATTTTTCTATAACACGACTATTAAGAAATTATGATTCTTTGTTATTCTTTGTAATGAACAACGCGCGGTGAATAAATCTAGTAGTTATAATTGTGCATATTACATAATCACAATAATGCATGCTATTATTTATATTTAGTTGTAAATCATAATTATAAAGAATTTAAAATAGTTGATTTTATATATATATATATATATATATATATATATGTTAAAATCAAAATATAAATATAATGAAACATGTAAGATTAACATACACATAATATATATGACGTCTAATATTGTAGATATGTAAGATTAATATTGTAGATAAGACGTGTAATCGCCGACAAAACAAAAATAGTTTCGTGGAAGCTTATATAGATTTTCCGACAGAAACATCAGTATGGGTAAATATTTTCTATTTTTTCTCCAAATTTTAGCATAGTTAGATTATAATGGAGAAATTTTTGAATCTTTTAAAAATTTATCGACCAGAGAAATTTTCAAATAGACTCCTAACCGAGAAAGAATATTTTTTTAGTTATACGATAAAGCTATTGCCATGACTAATTACCATTTAAAAGACTTTAGACAATGTTTGCTTATGATTATATCAAGACTCTAACAAGAACAAAATATGAAGAATTCCTAAACGATTGCAAATAGATCGAAGATATTGGCCATATTTTAGTAGATTTGTTAGAGCAATAGATGGAGTTCATGTATGCGTTAAGGTGAAGCCCGAATTACAAGGAATGTATTGGGATTAACATGGTAGAATATCATTCAACATCATGGCAATAGTTGATTTGAATATGTTGTTCACATATGTTTGGAATAGAGCTTCGGGATCTTGTCACGATACAGAAGTTCTCACAATCGCATAAGAAAGTGATTTTGAAATTCTTTTCCCTCCAGCAGAAAAATATTACGTAGTTGATTTTAGCTATCCAAATAAACAAGGTTTTCTTGCTCCAAATAGATTTTCACGAAATATGGTTGTTCGGTATCATATGTCACAATTCGAAAATGGTCCTCTAACTAGGAATAAGCACGAACTGTTTAATCAATGTTAAACATCTTTACGTTATGTTATTAAGAAGACGTTTGGAGTATGGAAAAAAATGTATAAGACGTAGGGATGTTAACTTGGGCATGGAACCCCCATTTAGTAAATGGGTATGTATAAGAAAAATTAACCCATTTAAATCCATTTATAGATTAGTATTAAGTTATATCATTATTTATGATATATGGGTATCATTATTTAATAAATGGGTATGTATGAGAAAAATTAACCCATTTTCAACCAAATAATATGCACACTTATATCATTATTTATGAATTAAATTTAATAAAAATAATCCGTAAATTTTAATAATTAATTAAATAATTATTGATTATATTATTTTTTGAACAAAAGAGAGTTATATGGGTCTAAATGGGTTTAAATGGTCAATCAAAATTAAATAATTTTAAAGAGGGTAGATAAATGGAGTGTAAACTTAAATGGGGTTATATGGGCTTACAGTAAATGGAGTCTGTTTTAAATGGGGTTGGGTTTACACATATTAACATCTCTACCTAGATATATTGCTACAATGAGATTACATAATTTTATGAGAATTTCAAATTTGTTAGATAATAATTTTGCAAAAGTAATGGGAGAGACAAAGAATAGGAACACAAATTCCGAAACTAATCTAGGAAACATGGAGGTTGCAGATATAGTTGATGGCGATCTTAATATCAGAGAAAATATTGCAGATGTGTTATGAAAAAATCAAAATATTCAATATTATACTTTTAGTGTTGTATTTGAAGTAATTTTTGTTTAATGTTTTAATATTTATGAAAATAATTATATTTAGTGCTTTCATAAATTGACACTCTTATTTAAATATTTTTCATAATTTTTAATTGCATAAATACAAAATGGAAAATTATATAAAATATTTTATTTTAATTTTACCTTTTCATTTTATAAATATTGATCCTTTTTCACCATTGAAACCCATTATTTGGACCGCCAGATCTGCTTTATCCGCATTTGTTCCGTCAGATTCGCTTGATCCACATTTGTTCTGCTCTGCTTGATCCATTCAAAGCCATGATGCGTTTTTACTGTGTCAAGCGGAACATAAATTTTGTTCATGACTTTGGATCACAGCGGTTCATATTGATATTTAATTATATATTCTAAGAAACTATTAAACTATAGACTGTTCAAATTATTTTGTTGATGGCATAATATTTGTGGTTTCTCTACTTTGTTTCCGGATCGCCTTTGTTCCGTATCTCCATTCAGACCCAATGATTATTACGATGATATAGAAAAACAGGCAGCAACTCAAATTTTTGCAACAACAATTTTCTCATTCACTATAAAAAAAAAGAAAAAAAACTGAGACGAAAAGAAATTGTCACAAATTTGTAACTTTGTTAGATATTATGTTATGAAATTTTTTTTTTTCATAAATTCGTAATTATTTCGTCACAATATTGTTACAGACTAAATAGTTAATGTAAATTGTCTCGATGAGTGACAAAATAGTAACTTTAATATCAGTCGTAACGGTATTGACGTTTGTATTACCAATATGTAGTCACAAATGGTGACAATAATTTGAGACAAATTATTGGTCATAAATTTGCAACTTTTTAGATACTTCGTTGAAAAAAAATAAATTTTGTATCAAATTCGTTATTTTTTTGTCATAATATTGCTACGGAATAAGACATGACAAAATAGTGAAAATAATATCAGTCATAACAATTTTGATGGTATTATGACACTTTTCTCAAATATATATAGATTATTCAGTTAAAATACTTATATATAGTGAATATTCATTGTATTTTAACGTGGAATATATAAAATATTAAAAAAAATTAAAAAAAAAATTGATTACATCTTTCACAATTCATAATTATCCTTAAAACTTTAAATGATTTTATTGTTTTATAAAATAGATAACTATTTGAAATTATAATAAAACATCCATTTTCTCAACCTGGAAGGTGTAGTGGTAAAGCAAAGGAGTTTTGGTTTCAAGATAAAGACTACCGTTTCGCACACATATATATATTCTCCTGAACTGTGAAGAAAAATTGGTAAAAATTTTTGAAAATTAAGTGAAAGACATACTTTACATTTTCATTAAAGAGTAAATATAATAAATGTTATGGTTCTAATATTAATGTTTTTATATAGGTTGTTTGATGAAAGCATGGTGATTGCTAAATGTTGGAGTAAGCTTGAAGTTAACTTAAACCGGAAGCAACTAAACCGAGTTATGGTTTAGAGAGGATAATATCAAATATATTAGGAGTTATCTAATATATATGTAATCCTAGTGAGATTAGGATTTGAGAGATTAATATAAATAGAGAGATCGAGTCATGACCTAATTGTATGAGAGTTATGTGGTTTTAAGAGAGAACAAAAGCTTAAGTTTTGAGTTAGTTTCTTAAGCATAATAAAGTGAGTTTTACTTTGTTGATCTTGTAGTCTTATTCATACAAATCTCTATTCTATATTGGTATCAGAGCAAAACGTGTAAGATCCGTGAGACATCATGAGTGAAATTACGGATGGATCAAACACGGCTTTGGCGACGGTGAAAGACGGAGGAAGCTCATCATCCATCAAGTGTCCTATGCTCACCGCTACTAATTACACAGTATGGGCCATGAGGATGAGAATCCTACTTCGTGTTCACAAGGTGTGGGATATCATTGAGAATTCATCGGAGGACGAAGAGAAGAACGACATAGCCATGGCGTTGTTGTTTCAATCAATTCCCGAATCACTTGTCTTACAAGTTGGAAAGTCGGGTACTGCTAAGAAGGTTTGGGAATCTATAAATTCAAAACACTTGGGCGCAGAAAGAGTTAAGGAAGCAAGGCTGCAAACCTTAATGGCAGAATTTGATCGATTGAAGATGAAAGACACCGAGACAATTGATGACTTTGCAAGCAAGTTATACTACAAGAAAACAAACCATTTGCGACTCCCATAATAGTCGGAAAACAGTCGCAAATCACTTGTTTGCGACTGTTGTCCGACTAATTAAATTGGTCGCTAAAAAACGGTCGCTAAATAAAACAGTCGCAACATAGTCACTTATTTGCGACTACTTTCTTACCGCACTATATAGTCATAAATAAGCGACTAATTTTTGACTTGTATATGTTGTTGCATATTCCCGACTAAAACGCAACTGAGTTTGATTAGAGACAGCTTTGTGACTAAGATTTGTAAGGTGAAAAAAAAATAGTAGTCCCAATTTAGTCGCTGTATCTGTTTCTTCCAGTTGCAACTTAGTCGCAATATAGTCTTTCGTTGTTGCGACTAATGTAAGACTATTTTCTATAGTCTCGTATTAGCAACCATTCTGCCACCAGTGTATTTTGGTTTAGTCACAAAATGGTCATTACTTTGTGGTTTGTCGAGTACAAATTGGTTTTGCAATCATAAACCTAATTCAATTTCGAATTGAAAAGCAGTAATCAAACAGAAATCAGATTAACAACTGAGTAATCAAATAACCATCCTAATTAAACAAGATAATCCTAGTTTTAACCAAAATATTAGCATCCTAATAAAACAGGTTTCATCAAACTTACAAAAGCAACAATTAAGAGAACAAGTTCATAGGTTAAAAGAAGTGTCTTCTGGGGTGCATGTTGCGTCTGGGATGGCTGCAGCTGCAGTTGTTGTAGTTGGTAGAGTGCCTGCAGCTGTTGTAGTTGCTTGGATGGGTGGTTGAGGTTGTGTAGAAGCAGAAGACAAAAAAGCTGCCAACTCAGGATCCTTATCTTTCATGAAGACGAGGAGCTTCTCCAAGCTGGAGATCCGAGATTGAGATTGGCGGTGCTCCTCATCACGTCTTGCATTTTCAGCCTCATGTTCAGATATCTTGCGCTGTAGCTGATCTTGAAGCTCCACAATGGTTGCTGTAGAAGAGCTCGCATAACTCTCTTTCCTTTTTCCTTTGTTCAGTGTCTCCATAAGCGATCCAAGACCATAAGGGGTACCTTTGTCATCTTTATGAGTACACTAAAACAAAATCCAAAGAAACAGTGAACAAGAACAAGAAGGATGTCCAATAAAACGAAATCAATTACCTTAAGAAAGATCTCATTCTTTTCATTAATGTTGAGCATACGGTCAGTGGAATGTTCAGAGGAATTAGTAGAATTCTGAGGACCCTCCTCGTCCAACTCAGCAACTTCTTTAGCTTTTTGATCCACAAATGATCCATCAGCCCTTGTATGTGTTTTCATAAACACTTCGCCAAGTGATACAGGACGCTTGAGCTCTTCCTCCTACAGTTAAACTCAAACAGATTTAAATCATGGAAGCAATATTAGAAAATCAGAGAAATGATTTGTTTGGATGGAAAGAGAACTCTTACCATTTCTTGATGAACTTGCACAAAAGATTTCTGACTGGCTAAGTGTTTGTGCACTCCAAGACCTCCACGATCAGAGTTTATGCACTGTGAAGCATTCTCACTCCTCTCAATAGCATCCTCAGTCTTCCAATACACCCACATCTAAACCCAAAGTGTATTACGGATCCACGGTGGTTGTACACCACTCTGCTTTGCTTGACTGACAATCCCTTTCAACCGTTTCTTGGCTATCACCAAGAATCCTTCTCTAAGAAGCTCAGTAATCCCGACATCCCAATTATACTTCCGCTACATAACAAGCAGTTATGTTAGCAAAGTTACTAAGTCATATATATTAAACAATAACAGAATGTAAGGTATATATGACATTACCGCAAAACTTCTGAAGTAAGGCCCATCAAACTTCCTCCGGAAGATTCCAGCAATCACTCTAGACAGCTTCCCTTTGTGCCGGTTAAAACTGTAACGAAAGTACATTTCACTTTAGTTAAGCACTAAGACACTGTGAAAAATAACTCCTAATTATATTCATTTCTTGAAATCACAGAATTTATTTGATGCAAATAACCAACAGATACTGAGCAAGAATGAAATATGTTTGATTAACAGCAGAATCAACTATGACAAGTCTCTAAACTTCAAGTTGAATTACCAAACAAAGCTTTAGTCATAAATGAACAAGAACCATGAGTCTATCAATGAACAATAACTTGGTCCAACACAGAGATAACATAGATTCTCAAAACAAACACGGAAAACAAACCAAAATGTTTAACAAACACTAAGCTTTCTACTACAGGACATGACTACATGATTTGCAAATGCTTTTAAAAAAACACAGATGCTCACAAACAATCACAAAATCAGATGATCAATCAAAAACACAGATGCTCACAAAACAATCACAAAATCACAAGGAGAAAAGGAAAGAGATTACCAGAGAGTCTCAACTCCAGGGATCGGGTTCTGAGACAGAAGTGGAAGATGTTGTCGGCCTGGAAGGGCTAGCAAACGATCCAACATTTCTTGGTAGTCGACATTTTGATCTCCATTTTTTTCTTCAGGCTCTTCGTCTACTTCTTCCTCATAATCGTCTTCATCATTAAGGTTTAGCTCTGGTGGTATGACATGTTGCTCCTCTGGATCCTGACGAGGAGGAGGCTGTGGTTGACACGGAGGAGGCTGCTGTTGACGAGAAGAAGAAGGCTGATGTTGACGAGGAGGCGGCTGCTGTTGACGAGAAGATGAAGGCTGCTGTTGACGAGAAGAAGAAGGCTTTTGTTGACGCCCAGGAGGTTGCTTTCGACGAGCAGGAGGTGGTTGTTGAGAGCCAGCCGGCGGTGGTTGTTGAGAGCCAGCCCGTGGTGTTTGTTGAGAGCCACCCGGCGCTGTTTGTTGAGACCCACCCGACGGTGCTTGTTGAGAGACAGCAGGTGATGTTTGAAGAGCAGGAGTCGAGGGTACTTGTGTCGCCGGCGGATATTGGGAAGGACGACTTACCGACTCTGTCGCCAAACTTGGGTTCGACGAGTGAGAAGAGGTTCCGACGCCACTGGGGATGAGTTTAGGATTCTGACCATGGTAGACTCTGGCACCACGGTTATTTGTCGATTTGCCTCCGCGACCTCTCGCTGACTTGCCTTTGGTAGGAGCCATTAGAAACAATCAATAGAGAAAGAAACGAAAGAGGGATTCAAAAGAGAAAGAACCGGATTAGGGATTCGAAAGAGAAAGAGACGAAATAGGGATTTGAAAGAGAAAGAATCGGATTAGGGATTCGAATGAGAATTAAGAGAAGGAATCGATTCAGGGAGAGAGAGATTGAAACCCTAGATCGAGAGAGAAGAAGAAGAATCGCAGAGTTGGAGTGAAGAAACCCTAGATCGAGAGAGAAAGAAGATCGAGAGAGAATGAAGAAAGTGAAAAGTCGAGTGTGTATTTTGCCTAGTAATTAACGAAAAGGAGTTGCTCTTTAGTCGCAAAACAATAGCAACATCAATTATTTGGGGGGAAAATTAAGCGCCCAAATACTTAGGGAAAATTTCATAAGATTTAACAAAAGTTGCAAAACAGTTGCAATATTCGTCGGAAAATGGTCACAAAACTTGTCGTAATTTAGTCACAATAAAGGTACAAGTCGCGATAATGTCACACAATAGTCGCAAACTGTGACTAAGTTGAGACAGACAATAAAAAATCACAACACAAAAAATTCAAAATCTATGGATTTGATTCACCTATTGATAGAAATCACTCATAAACACTCACTTTAGTAGCATAGAATACATGTATAAGTGTTAGGTTGGTCAAACCTGGCTTTCTCAACATATTTTATAAATTTTACAAAATTCCCTATCATGTTCATAAAGTAACATAATGAGTTCATATGGATTTAGAACTTTTGAATGTTTGGATTGTAAAACATTGAATTTCAAGAGGTTGGTTGAGTCTTTTTTTACTAACTTCAATAAAATCAAAGTAGTAACATATAAGAAAACATGTAAACAAACTTCAATTTAAAAATTTCGAATTGAAAATATCGAGCGTTGATAATCTGTAGCAAAATAGTCGCTAATCTCAGGTGCTAGACGCAAAAGGGTCACAAAATAGTCGCTAATCTCAGGTGCTATACGCAAAAGGGTCACAACATCAGTCGTACAATGGTCACACAATATGTCGGATTATGGTCACAAACCTCAAATCTGATATTTCGAATGTTTAATATCGAGAGTTGTTAATATGTAGCAAAGTGGTCGCTAAATCTCAGATAAATGTTATCGATTATCTTTGTTCGTCGCAAATATGTTGCAAATTTGCGACCGTTTTGTGACCTTTAGTCAAATTGTAAAAAAAAAAGAGTTCTATAGATAACAAGTCGCTAAGTGGTCTCAAAGTGCGACCTTTTTGCGACCCAAAATATTGAATTGGTAAACGGTCGGATAGTAGTCGCTTAATTGAGACATTTGTCCAACTACTTATTTCCGTCGCTAATAAGCGACTAGTTTCCATCTGTTTTGTTTGTAGTTGTTTAACACTCGCAAAAGAGACACAAAGTAGTCGCGCTTTTTTGCGACCATAAAAATAGTCACAACAAAGAGTCCCAAATTGCAGGTTTTCAATTATCCGAAATCTCTTCAAAGTCAGCATCATTGGGAGAAACCATTGAAGAAAGTAAGCTTGTAAAGAAATTTCTCAAGAGTCTTCCTCGCAAAAGATACATTCATATCGTGGCTTCACTTGAACAAGTACTAGACCTCAAGAAAATAAGTTTCGAAGAGATTACAGGGAGACTTAAGGTCTATGAGGAGCGTGTCTCATAAGAAGAGGAAGCTCAAGATGAACAAGGCAAGCTGATGTATGCTACTATGGAGTCAAATGCCTCTCAGCCTACTCGTGAATATGGAGGAGAATATAGAACCAGAGGACGTGGAGGAAGATTCTTTAACAGAGGAAGAGGACGAGGCCGGTATAATGGAACAAGAGATACCTCAAAAGTAATGTGCTATAGATGTGATAAGCTTGGTCACTTTGCATCTGATTGCCCGGACCATTTGCTTAAGCTGCAAGAAGCACAAGAAAACGATACAAAGAGCACAGTGAACGCAGATGAGTTAATGATGTACGAGGTAATGTATCTAAATGAAGATAAGGTCCTACCTAGAAAGTATGAAACAAATTCTGGAGAAGACAATGTGTGGTACCTTGACAATGGCGCTAGTAACCATATGACCGGAGATAAGCGATATTTTTCAACTATGGATAAGACTATCACCGGAAAAGTAAGGTTTGGTGACGATTCTCGAATAGATATCAAAGGAAAAGGTACCATAGAATTTATCGACAGAAACAGAGAGCTAAGGAAGATGGTTGACGTCTACTTTATTCCTGAACTTAAAAGTAACATCATTAGTCTTGGTCAGGCAACAGAATCGGGTTGTGATGTGAGGATGAAAGGAGAGAGTCTAACAATGCATGACCAAGACGGGAAGCTACTTGTGAAAACATTGAGATCAATAAATCGCCTCTACAAAGTAAGTATGGGAATCAAGGAGACAATGTGTTTATATACAACAACTCAAGCTGATTCAATAAGATGGCATGCAAGGCTAGGTCATATCAATCATGAAACAATGAAGACAATGATAAAAAGGGGATTTGTAATGGGAATCTCACTTGGTAACTTTGAGAAGGAAATCTGCGGCTCGTGCTTACTTGGGAAGCAAACAAGGAAAGGTTTTCCTCAAGCTACAATATGTATCGTGCCACTAAAACACTTGAGTTGATCCACGGGGATCTATGTGGTCCAATCACACCTAGCACGGTGGCGGGTAACAAGTATGTTTTTGTGCTTATCGATGACTACTCCAGATATATGTGGACGGTGCTTTTAAAGGAGAAGACTGAGGCTTTCGAGAAGTTTAAGAGATTTAAGGCTGTAGTAGAGCAAGAAACAGGGGAAAATATACAAACCTTCCGGACAGACAGGGGAGGTGAATTTGTTTCTTTAGAGTTCAATGATTTTTGTGCAGTTTCGGGCATAAGCAGAAATCTCACAGCTACATACACTCCACAACAAAACAGAGTTGTTGAAAGGCGCAATAGATCTCTCATGGAAATGACTCAGAGCATCCTAAAGCACATGAGGGTTCCAAATCGTTTTTGGGGAGAAGCCGTGAGGCACTCCACGTATCTTTTAAACAGAATAGCTACACGATCTCTAAAGGACAAGACACCATACGAGATGATACGACAAAAGGTCCCGAATGTTAATCATCTCAGAGTTTTCGGGTGTGTTGGATATGCGAAAAAAAAGGCGTCACATTTGAAGAAACTAGATGATAGGTCACGTGTGTTGGTCCATTTAGGTACGGAGCCTGGATCGAAAGCATACATGTTGTATGATCCGAAGAATAGAAAAGCAGTGGTGAGTCGCGACGTGATCTTTGATGAAACAAAGGGCTGGAATTGGAACAAAAACGATACGGAGAACGATAACACGAGAGAGCTTAGAATCGAGTTTGGTATTTTCGGGAATCATGGTATACTAGAAACAGAGCATATAAAAGAAACAGAGAATGAAGCTGTTGAAACCAACACCGGAATAGAAGAGAATGAGTCCACAGGACACGAAACCGGCGGAGAGTCCTCAGAGAATGAAAGCAACGACGATAGTGAGAATCAAAACCAAGCTGCTGCGGGAAGAATAGTAACTAAGTCAGGAAGAGTAGTGACAAAGCCTAAGTACCTACAAGACTATGTGTTGATGAGTGAAGTAGAAGGAGAGAGGCTGCTGATGGCTTTAAATGATGAGCCATGGGATTTTTCAGAAGTAAGAGAGTCAAAAGAGTGGTTGGCTGTGTGCAAAGATGAGATTCATTCAATTGAGAAGAACAAAACTTGGAATCTTGTTGAACTACCACAAGAAATAAAGCCTATAGGACTAAAATGGGTATTTAAACTCAAGAAAAATTCTGATGGTAGCATAAGCAAGCACAAGGCCAGACTCGTTGCAAAGGGATATGTGCAGCGACATGGAATTGATTTTGAGGATGTATTTGCTCCAGTAGCACGGATTGAGACAATTCGTCTTCTCTTGAGCCTTGCAGCGTCTAGTGGATGGGAAATACATCATCTCGATGTTAAAACTGCGTTTCTTCATGGAGAATTAAAGGAAACAGTTTATGTGATGCAACCAGAAGGCTTTGTGGTAAAAGGACATGAGAAAAAAGTTTATAAGCTTAGCAAGGCCTTGTATGATTTGAGACAAGCTCCAAGGGCGTGGAATGAGAAGCTAAACCAAGTGTTGAATGAACTTGAATTCAAGAAGTGCACCAAAGAGCCATCAGTCTATAGAAAACCGGTTGATCAACACATTCTTCTTGTCGCAGTCTATGTTGATGATTTATTTGTCTCAGGAACAAGTCTTAAGGTCATAGAGGGTTTCAAGAAAGAGATGGCGGGAACGGAAGCTGCAAAGCAAGCCATTTGGCTTCAAGACCTACTAAGTGAAATCGTCGAAGCTCCTTGTAAGAAGGTTACCATACTTATCGACAATCAATCGGCAATTGCACTCACAAAGAATCCTATCTTCCACGGCAGAAGCAAGCACATACATAGACGCTACCACTTCATAAGAGAATGCGTTGAGAATGGGCTAATCGAGGTACTACATGTTTCGGGTGAAGAGCAAAAGGCGGACATACTAACCAAAGCACTTGGGAGAGTCAAGTTCAAGGAAATGAGGAGTCTCATTGGAGTTAAGGACATGGCGCAAGAAGACTTCAAGCTTAAGAGGGAGAATGTTGGAGTAAGCTTGAAGTTAACTTAAACCGGAAGCAACTAACCGAGTTATGGTTTAGAGAGGATAATATCAAATATATTAGGAGTTATCTAATATATATGTAATCCTAGTGAGATTAGGATTTGAGAGATTAATATAAATAGAGAGGTCGAGTCATGACCTAATTGTGTGAGAGTTGTATGGTTTTAAGAGAGAACAAGAGCTTAAGTTTTGAGTTAGTTTCTTAAGCATAATTAAGTGAGTTTTACTTTGTTGATCTTGTAGTCTTATTCATACAAATCTCTATTCTATAATCCTGACATAAGTGAAGACAATCTAACCTTGCTTAGCGAAAAGGAATTTGCAAGTTGGTTAC